ACACAATTATTCAGCAATAGATCATCATGCTAGGTTGGTCAGTGATGTCTAGTGGTGGGTAACTATTGTAAATAGTAAATAATCAATGCACAGTAATATTGTAGAGCTTACTGTAGGAAAATGTGCAGTCTTTGGAGTGGTTTTTACTGGAAAGCACATATTTGATCTTGGCTGGAATGCCTGTAACTATAGCCTACCCAACTGATTACAAATTTAATTGAGAGCTTTTACCATAATAATTTGCTAATGCTGCAAGAGATACTAGCCCCAAATATATCTTTTGAGAAATGCTGTTGTCCTACCACTCACCTATAGAACAGAAAATTTCAAATCATATGCACTTAAGCTTATCTCTACTCAATGTCTATTCTTACAGCACTATGATAACACCTTATTTTGTTTTTGATGTTTTTAAAGCAAATAGAGTCTGTATTGTTAAATTTCAAGTTGTACAAACCATTTTATGACCAAAATTAAGAAATTTATGCCATCATAGAAAAGAAAGTGTTGTTACAATGGAAAGAAACCCGAAAGTATACAAGATATGGAAAGCGGACAAGTCTGCAAAAAAGTTGGTGGGTGCCAGTACCTTTGACGAACTCTCTGAAAAAGGTATGTAATTGCTTGTTATTGTTACTTACCATGTAGTCACTATTGATCTATGTGCTTTCATAAATGACAATTTTCCTTTAGGGCATTTGTGAAATGTAAACGAATTAATAAAGCAGATAAGAAAATTAATTCAAAATAAAACTAATCATGAACGTAATAAAACAATAAACAATTTTCTTAGCTTACTTTTTCTCAAGACAACTTAAACTTTTTTTTCAGTGCAGGAGCTAGAGTACAATAAAATTTGTTTTTGAAAAAATTGTGGAAATTCTGTTTAAATATTTAGGTGAATAGAATGAAGAAAATAAATGTAGGACAATACTTTTGATCTTTTTAGTGGAAGCCAAGTTTGCTTTTAAAGGACATTTTTGCCTAGAAGATGGTACTGAGATAGAAGATGATGATGCTTTATGGTCATTAGATACTGACAAAATCATTTATCTGTGCAATGATATGCCTTTCATTCCAGGTAAGTTACTGTATGTAATTTATTAAACTTATTATAAATCATGTGAACCAAAATAAAATATTTCTCATTCAGTGCCTATCCAAAACTATGTTACTCTAGTGAAAAAATAAGAATTTCCTCAAACATCGGAGGGAAGGGAACACCCTAGCAAGCCTAGGCCTATAGGTCTAATTAGAGGCCATATTTTGTCTTTAACTCCAACTAGGCCTAGGCCAGCCTTTCTTCCATGCCAAAATTTCCCTTCTTGATATCACAAGTTATTTTTCGCCCAGCAACAACCATTCCAAGAAATCACCAATGCAAAAACTATTATTTGACCAACATCCACATATGCCTCAGATTAAGCAGTAGTCTAAAGTAGTGTAATGTCACTACAAAATCGTATTATAAAAATATGAAGAACATTCAGTGTGGAAAATTTTTGATTATTGATTTGTTATAGTATGTACATAATGTAACCACTTGCCTTTTCTCACATAGCTTTATGGCATGGTACTGTTATTTTCGCAGATTTAAATTTTTTTTTATATCTATATAAATTATTTTTTTTTGTATGAATATATCTTTGCTGTAACTCTATTGTACACAAAAACTGCAAAAATTGATGTACCATACCATGAAAATTTAAACTTTTACAGTATTCTGTAAGAAAGATATTTCACAGGCATGTCTGTTATATATAAGGGATTTGTCTAGACCTTGCAATAGTTATTTCTGTTACTATCATAAATTGTGTGGTGTCATACCCATTGTCTTTGATATGATCATCGATGTTGAAACATGAATTTGTATCTACTTTAGTCTCCTTATGTACTGTAGTATCATTGTAGCAAGATCATTGTATTATCAGACTAGATTAATGTATAATCTTATTATTTACAAAGAAAAATTGGATTTGTCGACATCGGACTCTGATGCGACCGTCCTTAATTCGTCATCTACTAGTTCGTCAGATGGTAAGTGCCATTATACAGTATGTCTTTGCACAGTAGGCCTTTCTGTACCAATTAAAGCTTATTAACACTTTGACTGCCAGACCTTTTTAATTGTACCAACGTTGACTGCCAGACATTTCAGTCAATTTGACCTTGTTTCTAGTTTTAATTGAGGACATATGCCTATGAATAAATCACATTTCTATACATCAAAATAAAGAGCAACTCATGAGCTTTAAAATGACACTATACACTTTATTCTTGCAAAAACATAAAGTAACCAAAATTTGAGTTGAATATACCTAACTTTTGAGAAAAAGCTGAGAAAACAGCCTTCCAGAAGCACATACAAGAAAAAGCATGGGGTGGGGGAGGGTGTTTTCAAAACTAAAAAATGTATGGTCCAACACGAATTTATTATTGAAATTTCTACCACCGTTGCAAAACGTCCATTTCTATCGGATTCTGAAATAAAACGCGAAAGACGGAGATCTCCGTCTTTGGCAGTCAAGCGTTGGGAAGTAAAAGACGGAGATTTCCGTCTTTGGCAGTTAAAGTGTTAACACGGAATAATATTATTATCAACAATCAACCTTTATAAACAAGATAAGCAGTATTAGTTTTTATGTACTGTAAGAGACCGGAATGTGCATGTAAATTTGGTGTTTTAAAAAATCAGGTTAGGGTTCAATTATAACACTTCCTCAATAGTTGTCTCTGTTGTTGATACTTAAAATTTAGATGTTTCAATTTATTGTATTTTGATATTACCTAATTTTCAGTTAAATACGATGTTCATGATAAGTATTTGTAATGTACCTTTCTTTTCAGGATTGCTTATATACATGTCTTTACTTTTTATTTATTCCTTTGCGTCTTGGCATTTTGCAGTTGGTAGTGTGTTGACATATTTTGTGTAAATAAAATATAGAATTAAATCAAGTAATTAAAAAGTATATTATCATTTTCATTATTATTTCCACTAAATTATTACTATTGCTGCTGCTGCTACTATTGTTACTGTACTTCTACTCTAATTGTTGCCCAATATTCTTAAAATTGTATTGTGTTCAAATTTAATAAAAGCTTCATGAATAGACACAATTCGCTTCGTCAGTCACATGACCTGGAATGGGTATTTGGGTTTGTTTACATCGCCAGACGACAGTGTTTAAGCATGGCTTCGCCGTGCTATTGTTGTAGGGCCCATGATAAATGCTGTAAATGTTGGCTGCAACGAGAATTTAGATTCAGCAATTCATTGAGAAATGTTCCAGTATTTAATTTCCATACACTGTCGGATTGGTTTAGTGAAACTCCGAAAGATACTGGGAGCAAAGCCTGGACGTTTTTTAAAGAAGGGCACGTAGGCCTAGGCCTATAGTACACGATTGCCATGTTGCCCATGTTGATTTAACCCGAACGCCGGCTGAGGTGCTTTTAGGCTTCAGGCAAATATTCGAACATATAATTTTCTGAGTATTAACAACATGCGAGTGTTTTTAGCCTATGTTCATGCACAAATTTTTCCCGGCCAAGGTTTAAGTGTTAGTTTCATGTGCCTTCAGGCTATATGGGTGAGGAGAGTGAATCAGCATAGATAAACCTAGACTAATGTAGGTCTAGGCCTACGCTAGAGCCACATTTGTCGACAATCCTAACAAAAAAAACTAAATTATTAATATTTTTAAAAAGTAAATTACGATAGCCTACATGGAGTTTTCTTAAAATAATTACTGCATAAATCATTGTTAAACAACTATAATAGGTCTATTTACCTTATATTTTACTTAATTAATCCCTGTCAAACATCTCCCAACCTAGTTTACTAATGGTTTACTGTACTGAATTCGTCGCTACGTTCTGTTTGTTTACATTCAATACCCAATCTGGATCACGTGACCACAAATTGCAGACCAAGCGAATTCTGTCTATTGCTGATAATAAGTTTACCGGATGTGTTTTTTTTTTTTTTTTTTCAGAAACCTCAAAAAATTCAGGACTCTTCCCCATACCACTAGAAAGATTCCCATATGGCTTTCGTCTCAGCTTAAATAAAAGAAATAGGCCATCACCAAGCGATAAAAGGGGTGCAGCAAAAGTTTTGGCAGACAAAGTTGTTGAGTTGAATGGAGCAAAGGGTAGAAAGGTGTTTTTTTCAATTGCAAGAAATGTTGTTGAACTGTCTCCAAAGTCATTTTCTACTGACATTGGAGATGGCATAGAAGCGTTTGCAGGTTTGATAGAAAATGCCTACTATAACCATCCTGTAGTTCGGCAACGATCTAAAGGAAGTTTGAAGTCAAAACTGCAAAGAGATGAAAAGGGAAGCAGAAAAAGAAAAGGCAGCAAAGATGCATACGGATGTGTCGAATGGCAACCAGACAGCTACGGCGATGATGAAACAGAAGATTCTCAAAATCAAAAGCAAAAATGGCTACAGCAACAAAGTACAGTTGAAGAAAAGGATTTAATGAAGATTAAAGAATATATGACTATAACATATCCCTCACAGCGATTTTTCATAAATCAAGAGCCTGCAAAGTCCATGGAGTGTGTTCGAGAGGAATGGCCATTCCTTTTTGATGTTCCACATTATGAAGCCCACTTTTGCAGATTGACTGGGACCAGTCCAGAAATATACCAAGACAACATGGAAAAGAAATCTCAGTTGCTTTATAAGTTTTTCATGGAACCCAATCAGTCTGAACACTTTAAAAAGTGGCAAACAAGCATTGATGAGGCCAAAGTTGTCACAGGAAATAACTTACCAATAGTAGGAGGAGTAGTGTTAATGGCGATGAATTATTTCAAAGAAGACAATAAGACACTGTTCTTCGAAGTGGATGTAAGTACCAATTTGCTATTTCTATACTAAATTTTAATTTTAAAGTGGAGTTCTTAAATACTGAATGTGCATATTTTTATTTTTATTTACTGTCTGTATAATTACTTTGCTTAATAAATTTTTACATTATCTATTTACTATTGAAAAACTGTATTATGCTGGCTACTGAACATGCAATCTCTTAAAAAGAAGATAAACATTGTGTAAAAGAAGTTTTTATAATTGAATGAATGGTTTATTTGTTGAATAAATAAACAGAAACTATGGACTAGCGACCATTACAGAATTAGGCACTTGCGCATATCGTAAGATAAACTTTAGCAGACTGTAGGAAGGCAATCCGCATTTTTTTTGTGGGGTTTTGGGGTGGCCAAATGACAAAAGAGCTCAACATAATCTGTCTCTTATACACATCTAGATGTGTATAAGAGACAGATGTAAATGGGTTTATATTTAGCTTAGGCCTAGGCCCTATTATTTTGTGAGTTACGCCCCTTGGTCTTGGTGAACCCATACGCAGGCGTAGAATAGGCCCTAACCAGCCCTAACCATGGAGGAATTAGACTTTAGTTCCTCCATGCTCTAACTAACTAGGCCTAGCCTAGGCCCTAGGCCTAAATTATTGTTAGCCCAGGCCTACAGCATTATAATAAATGTAGGCCCAGGAATGGAATTATTTTGAGCTGATGGAGTTTTGCACAACAATATCAACTAGTTAATTGTGTTTTAATATCAATTATCTTAACAACGACTTATGAACAAGCTAGATAATGCATATGAATGTGATTGCCCCAGACGTACGTGATTAAACTTAAAAAAATAATGTCGCACTTTTCGAAGAATACGGGTCGTTTCAGCCCCGAGTCGATTCGGCCATATTAGAAGGCCGAAATGACCTGAGTCGTTGCGCCCTATAGTAAGAATTTCGATTGCGATTAACAGCCACAGTATGGAGCGCCAAGTAAGCACTGCGGTTTATTTGGGTTCTGAATTTTTAAAGAGGTTTTTTTTGTGTGTTTTAGTATGATTTATTTTGTCTTTTTTACGATCCTTGACTATACATAATAC